GGACCAGAACTGTGCACGGTGCTCCGAGTGTGGGTCTAACTGAGGGATACGGGGACCAGAACTGTGCACGGTGCTCCGAGTGTGGGTCTAACTGAGGGATACAGGGGGCAGAACTGTGCACAGTGCTCCAAGTGTGGGTCTAACTGAGGGATATGGGGACCAGAACTGTGCACAGTGCTCCGAGTGTGGGTCTAACGGAGGGATATGGGGACCAGAACTGTGCACAATGTCCAGTAATGATTGTTCACTGTTTATGAACAACTTAACATTCCTTTTCATTTTGTCGATAACAAAGGCCTGATATTGAAACAGTCCGTCTTGCTGTGGTTCAGGACTGAAGCAAGAATGCCAAACTTCAAACCGTAGGCATAAACGATGCCACAGGAGGAAAAGATGCCAATTGGTCTGCAAGTTCCTGCTGATTGGCTGAGACTTTGCCACGGTGGAAGGGAAGTGAACTGTGAGGTTATGCCAATTTGCTGGGTCATGGAGCCAGGGCAGAAGGTGCCTTTATCGCACTCAAAAACCTGCGGGTGCAACTCCTAGCTCATTCGGGACTGTTCAGCAAGTGCTTCCCCCTACGGTAGAATAGCTTCTCATGCATGTTTCTATCTGCCTCCCCCTCTCTCCATATTTATTTCAGAACCCCCTTCCCCTCCCCCATTTCTGAAGAAGGGTCTAGGCCCGAAACGTCAGCCTTCCTGCTCCTCTGATGCTGTCTGGCCTGCTGTGTTCATCCAGCTCCACACCTTGTTATCTCAGATTCTCCAGCATCGGCAGTTCCTACTATCTCCTCTCATGCAGACAGTTTGTTTTGGGTTTTTGCAGGCATGGAACTGGTTCGCAGCTTTTGGTTTGATTTGATTTATTATTGTCACATGTACAAAGGTACTGTGAAAAGTATTGTTTTGCATGCTAATGAAATCTTATCTTACATAAGTACTTCAGGGTGATAGAACAGAATGCAGGATATAGTGTTAAAGCTACAGTGAAGGTGCAGAGAAAGATCAACTCTAATATAATGAGGGGTCCATTCATAAGTCTGGAAACGGTGCGAAAGAAGCTGTTGTTGAATCTGTTGGTACGTGTTTTCAATCTTTTATATCTTCTGTCCGAATTGAAGAGGGTGTAAGAGAGTAGAACTGGGATGGGAGGGGTCTTTGATGATGTTAGTTGCTGTCCTGAGGCAGTGGGAAGTATAGACTGAGTGAATGGATGGAAGGCTGGTTTGTGTGATGGACCGGCCTGTGTTCACAACTCTCTGCAGTTTCTTGCGGTCTTAGGCAGAGCAGTTGCCTCACCAGGCTGTAATGCACCCAGATTGGATGCTCTCTATCGTGCATCTTTCAGAACTGGTAAGGCTCTTGATGGACATGCTGAATTTCCATAGCCTCCTGAGGAAGGAGAGGTGTTGCTGGCGCTTTCTTGACTGTCACATCGATGTGGATTGACAAGGGCAGACCGTTGGTGATCATCTCTCCCAGGAAGTTGACCCATCTCCCCGTCAGCTCCATTGATACAGACAGGGCCGTGCCCTCCACTCTGCTTCTTGAAGTCAACAACCAGCTCCTTCGTTTGGCTGACGTTGATGGAGAGATTGGTGCCTTTATACCATGCCTAATGTCCGTGATCTGCCAGTTGGTGGAGACTACCAGAGGAATGTATTAGTTTGGTCCCAGTATCGGGGAGGGTGGGTTGGGTGTCCCAAATCCCTTCACGGTTCCCCCCACCCCCCTCCTTCATGGTGTCAGGTCAGCGTAAACCAGTGCCCACCTTACCCCGGTGTGTAGAGCCTTTCCCGAGACTATATCAGGGTTTGGGGGGAGGGGGCGGGGTGGGGAGAGGGTGGGGGTGGGCACCCTCCTTCCAGATCCATGGTCCATTTGGGCAATGCCCAGTGTGCTTCCCCTCATGGCCTCTTTGAGCTGTGCCAATCTGGAGCCAAAACCCCCAGACCAAAGGATGATCCCCGTGGCTCCTGCAGGGCCTCCCACTCTTTGCCAACTCTTCAAAAAACACGTGACTTGCCATCGCTGCCAAACGCATGTCTGTTTTGGGAACATTTTGGCACGTCGGGATTCACAGAGACAGATCTTTTCCCTCGATCCATCCGTGCCATTTGCTCACCATCTGTAGGCTCGGAGCTTTGTTTCTGATTAAAGCCACGTTTCTCTCCACGGCCCCTCCCTGTGGCCACAAACTCCCAGTCTCTGGGGAGAGCGGCATCTCTGGAATTCACGCTCATTTGATGCTTGCGGTCACCAACTCATTCCCACGGCGTTTCCTGCTCTCTTCACCAGCACTTTCCCTGGCCCCAGTCCCATCCTCTTCCCACAGTATTCCCGACTTGCAGAATCTCAGAGTACAATGGGTACTCGATCAGATCAGGGTTATATCTATATTCATTGACAGTTATATTCATTGTCACACTTATGCCAGTCTCTGACTGTCTACACCAAGGGAGGTCTCAACAAATATCACCTCTTGGTACTCAGTGGTGTTACATCACTGAACAAAGAATCTCCATAAACGTTACCATTCGCACCATTAAAATGAAACTAAAATCAAAGCTGTAAACTTTTACAGTGAGCACATTCTGTAAAATGAAAACCTGTCAATAGTTCCTTGAAAGTGGAGTCCCAGGTAGTCAGGAT